GATGTATAGGGAGGGTGGAAAGAGAGAGAGAACACATGTCCTGAAAGGCCTATCAGATGGACAGACCTGAGTCTGAATCCCAACTCAGACAGATGCTAGTTCTGCACACTTGGGTAAGATATTTAATATCTGAGAGCCTCAGATTCCACATCTGTAACATTGGGGTAGTAATCCCACCCACGTGGCCCGGGTGGCTGTGCAGGTAGATAACTCGCCTGAAAGAGGTACTTGCTTAAAATAACAACCCAAAGTGGGACCCATATAACGACAACAAAAGGTGATTAAGTGACACGAGCCGGGCAAACAAAGGCGGTGGGGGTTCCCAGCAGGAAGGCTCACACCTGGCCGAAGCGCGGGAGTGAGTGTGCGCGCAGGGCCCTCCCAGCCTCCAGGTGATCTGCCACTCCAGCGCTAGGCAGGGCAGAGCAGGGCTCCCCGGAGCAGGCCTGGGACGCAGCGAGTCCCCACAAAGCCAGATGTTTACCTGCTGAAGCCAGCTGAGAGGGTTAGAATGGAGGTTTGGAAAGGGCGCAGCTGCCCGAGTTGGCCTCAGCCTGTTGGTGGGCACTGAAGATCATTCCACTCTCCAGAAAGCGAGGCGGCTTCCCCGCTTTGTTCAGTCCACACCCCCTCTGGATGTCTAAGGCGAAGCGGTTTTCTCTCTTCTCCAGCTCAGAGGCTGAGAATGGTGTGGAGGAGAAGAAGAAGGCCTGCAGGTCGCCTACAGCCCAGTCTCCCACCCCGTCCAGCGAGGCCGAGTCCCCAGACCCGAAGAGAGTCATCTGCCTGCGGTGAGTCCTCACGCCCGACCTTGTCCTTCTTGCCCTTTTGGGGAGGAGGGGTTGCTGGGAGGAGCTGGTGTTTGTAGCCTTATGGTGGTGGTTAAAAGAGTGATTGAGGATTTAAATAACCCTGAGAAAGAAGTAGGGTGTTTTTCCGTGGAAATCCCAGCGCTGGCGCCTGCCTTCCCTGCTCCTCTTGTCCTAGAAGCACCTTTCTGCCCTTCCTGCCTCAGCCTGCTGCAGTGTCTGCCCTTTTCTTAAAGCACTGACTTTGCTAACTGATAAAGCCGGGTGGCCCTCTTTCCGGATTAGATTTATAAGGCAGCTGGGAAGGCTGGCCAGGTTGCTGGTGAGGCCCGCCCAGGCTGGAGTGTCTGCTTAGCCTCTGGGTGTGCACACCTGCGTCTCACTTTCCTGGCAGTTCGGGGGAGGGGGAAAGAGCAGATGGAGTGGAACCCCACCTGGCATCCCCAGGCAGGGTGTGCATGGGTGGGGTCGTTTCCTGGGGTGAGTGCTGGCACCACGGTTTAGTTGTGGGGCTGTGGGGGGACTGGCAGTTTTGAGATGTGGAGCTATGGTCCCCATCACTCTCAGAAGTAGGAACTTAAGAGTGGCCTTTTAACCCTTAAAAGCGAATGGTTAAACCAATGGTGGAGGATCGGTAATGCGGCCATTGATCTGTAGGAGCTCAGGAGTGATCGCTCTCCTCCCTGGTGTTAGAATTGTCAGAACTGCTACCTTCTGGTCTTTTGGCCTCTGCTAGAGGGTGATTAAATAACTCCTGCTTTCCCTTTCTTCCTGGCCACCCAGCCCATACCTTCTCTCCACACCTACACTTCATGCAGGACCAAGTGTAAGTCTTCACTCTTCCCCCAAAGCTTTCTGTCACTGCCCGCCCTCGCTCCACCTGTGCCGCATGCCTGATCTCATATCTCACTTTAACCATGTTTTCTGTAGCCGTTTCCTGTCCGAGCATCCTGTTTCACTCCACAGAGGCACCGCGCATGTTGTTTCTTGTGTCTTTCACCACTGTTGACTGGCTGCAGCATGCACGTCCAAAACACTGCTGGTTTTACTCCAGCTTCCCCAGGCTTTAGATGAGATCAATACACTCATCATCAGGGCATGCTTGTTAAACTTCGCAGGGTGTGTGATCTGTGCAGTTAAAACTATCCCAGCACTTGGCCTAATGCTCTGCTCTCGCTGTCTGGAAATTCTTAGTTTTTGAATAAGGGGCCCAGCATTTTCATTTTGCACTGGTCCTGCTCATAGTCACTTGCGGGAAGTGAGAACAACACGGTTGAGAAGACTCAAAGAAATCAATACTATGCAAATACGCACCCCTCCCCCACCACCACTACAGAGACCGGGCTGTGCAGACGGGCCCCTTCTGCGGGTCCCCTTGAAGCTGTCTAGGGTACTGCTCCCCTGTTGTCACATTTGCTTCCTGCCCATACTTATTCAAAAGGCCTGATCTTTGCCTTGACAATTCCACTGATGTTTATTCGTTTCAATCAGTAGAGTTGATAAATTTCAAAGTAGTGGATAGTATATATAATAGGTAATTTGACATTTGAAAAAATTATTTTATTTTCAAGTACAGTACAAATGTTTACTCATAATTTTTTTAAAGTAATCCCTAGAATTCTAAAGAAATGTCTGTCTGTGAATAGGTTCAGTCGCCAGTACCTGAATCCAAATCAATGTTCCTCGAATTGCCGAGAGGTGTTTCTCCTGTGGTTTGAGCATCACAGATTCACACCGAGTCTGGCAGGGGCCTGGGCATCACATAGTCCGTCTTTTCACAGCAGAGCAAACCAGAGCCTGATGTCTCTCTAACTTCAGTCATTTCTCTCTGTCACACCCATATACTGCTCAAATTGCTTAAGATTCTTCTTATATTGACTTTGAACTAAAATTTTTTAACTGTGCTTCATTCTAAGGAATCATATTGTGAAATCATGGGTTTCATGTGCCCTTTTCCCCCAATAAACAAAAGAATCTGCATACTCATATCATAAAACTTATATATACACACACCCCCGGCTAAAAATCACACACACACAGTCATCTGTGTTGAGCCCTTGGGTTGAAACTGCGTGCAGAGTCACACATCTACTAAATGGAGAGCCTTGCCTAGAACCACCTGAGAAAGGATTCCTGGACTTGACTTCCATACGTGTTCTTTTTTATCCTAATTTCACTTCGAGTGTTTTCCCACTCTGGGATGTATCATCTCTCTCTTTTCCTCACCCCCAAATCCTGCTCGTCCAATTAGGCCCCGTGTATTAAACCCACATTATTCCATTGGCCTCTTCTCTTCCTTCCTGTTGGACTAATACCTCCTCCTAACGCCTATGCTATGTCTTGTTTTGGTGCTAAGTCATGTCCTGCCTTCCTAAGAAGTTTTATTTTGTTGTTAATCTATTTTAATTTTTTATTGAGGTATAATTGACATATAACATGATATTAGTTTCGGGTGTACCACATGACTCAATGTTTGTATACATTGCGAAATGCTCACCACAGTGAGTCTAGTTCACATCTGTCCTCATACATAGTAACAAATTTTTTTTTCTGATGAGGACTTTAAAAAATGTTTGATGTGTGCACAGGCTCCTTAATGATAAAGACTGTCTTGTGTGTCCCAGGCATTTAACACAGTGCCCCACTTAATTACCACTGGTTAAATATTAATAGATTTCTGAAATAAAAATATTTTTGATTGAACTATAGCTGCAATTTTGTTTCATAATTTGCCTCCTATACTCTTTATACTGATTAAAATACTATTTTTTTTTAAACATATCTTGATTGATTTCAGAGAGAGAAAGGGAGAGAGAAAGATAGAAACATCAATGATGAGAGAGTCATTGACCGGCTGCCTCCTGCACGCCCCCAACTGGGGATGGAGCCCACAACCCGGGCATGTGCCCTGACCGGGAATCGAACCCCGATCGCCTGGATCCTAGGTCGACGCTCAACTGCTGAGCCATGCCCAGCCAGGCTGATTAAAATACTTTTGAGATGGTACAATTATTTTCGCAGCTAGATTGTTATTTTTCTCTGTTACAAACGACCATTTCTTCAGTTTGAGATTCCAGCCTGCTGAAGTCATCCCAGCCCTACAACACTTGCTCTATAAACCCCCCTCGAGGGTTACGAGTGATTATTGACATCTAGAAGAGAAAAGCGAATGCCAGATTTCTTTGTGAGATGGTATAATATTCAAGATGGATTACAGTAAAATTAATGAGCAGCATAAAAAAATTCATTCTGTAGCCTCCCTGGGTTTTCTTTCCTCAGGTCAAAATCCAGTTTCGATGGTGTCTCTTTAGCAAGTGATAAGAACGACTGTAAAACAGAAAGCAAAAATGACTCTAAGATTGAAAGGAAAAAGTCTTCGTCTTCCAGCCAGGTAATCGGGGAATGAGGTGTGTGGTCTCAGAGGGCAGCCGAAGCATAAAGCAATGGGAAGAGCAAGCACACAAGCACACGTGTGCAGCTTTCTGCTGCTCAGGACTAGCATAGGCATTGATTTCAGAGAATCCAGGAAAAAGGACAGGCCTCAGATCCTTCAGTCGATTTTTCATCAATATCGTATTTCACAACTGACCTTTCAACGTGTTGAGTGGGTGGCGAATTCCACACTGTGCCCCTCACTCTGCCAAGTGCCCACAGACATCGCCCTACAGGGACCAGCACTGAGTCACATGCTTGTCTGATAATTGGCCAGTTCCGGGAGAGCTGTGACATCCCTGCGCTAAAGTGAGAGTCGGAGGGCACCTGTGGGAACAGAAGGCCCCCAGCTGCACACAGGAGGAAAACCTGTGGACAGAGTCATGATTCTCCTCCAGAAGTCATTTTGCTTCTGCTCTAAAACACACCAGACAGGGCTTAGAGCCCAGCTCTGCACCACAGTGTGACGGACTTACAGGCCAACAGCAGGGTTTGATACTTGATCCCTAGGTACTGGAATACGTGTCTCCTAAGAACTATTACAAAACACGGTTGGCACACCCAAGAAATTTAACTAAATAGTAAATATAAAATATATATTATTAATATAAAATCCATTTTCAGATTTTCCACCATTATCCCAGTAGTGAGCGTCCTTTATAAAGGTTTTTTGTTTCCCCCTCTCCAACATCCAGTCAAGAGCCAGGTGTTACATGTATTTGTCATATTGTTTTTCATTTCAATCAGTCCCACTACCTTTTTTTAAACCTCTTATAACAATATAAGAGGGTTCATGGCCCAGGATATTTTTAAGTCAGGTGTGCAACCAGTGCTCACTGTAACCACTAAAAACAAAACCTCAGTAAGACCCCCTTTAACACCTAGCTTTAGTCAAAGTAACTTCCTGGATGCAAGTTTACTCCTCGGAGACAGTGTGAGGTAACCTACTTTATCTGAGGCGTTTATCTATAATACAGCTAACTTGTGGCAGACCGTCTGTCATCTGCTTGGCCTATCTAAAGCTCTTCTTTCCAGCAATAGTAGGGCCATTTTTTGCCATTGAGACCACACCTAGTTTGCATAATAGAGCATCAAGTGCCTAAATTAGTGTCTCTCAGTTTTGCTCCTAAGACTTTTTCATCGAAAGCATCTGTCAGGCAGTGTGGTCCTGTGGCAGGAGGATCCAGCTCTACCTCTGAGTAGCTCTGGTTCCAGTTAACTCAGTATCTCCAAGGCACAGTGTCCTGGCCCATGCACTGGGGGAGTCAGTTCCCAGGTTGTCGTGGGGGTGGTTTGTGAAAGCATTTTGCAAACTGTGAAGTGCAGTCTGTACATGTTGTCACAGTTGTGGAAATAGACGCCTTCAACATGAAGTGACTGTCAGCATTTCAGACTCTCAGGCCTTCTGCCTCCCTTGAGAGAAACCCTACTCGTCTTGACAGTCATCTTCCCCTGGCACTGGCTAAGGAAACACCTTCACAACAATAATTGTGTTAGTGACAATACCAGGTAGTGGGTCGTTTAGCTGTACGTCCCATTTGAGGCATCCCACTGAGGCAAGTACTGTTTTTGCCCTCTGGCACAGAAGGGGAAACTGAGGCCCAGAGAGGTTAAGCCACTAGGCCACTGTCACATACAAAAGAGAGGTGTAGCTAGGACTCAAACTCGGGTTGATATGACTGCAAAGTTTTTAACCACCATCCTCTTCTGAGAGTCCTCACTTGTACCTTCAGTGCCCTGGGATCTACTACCTTCCCTGGTGAGAGTCCTTAGAATTTCTTCTCATGCCTCACGCGGGACATGCTTTGTCTAGCGCCTCAGCGAAGGCTGACCGCCTGCTGCATCGTGGTCATAGCTGTGTGTTCGACCAGCAGGTCGCTGGTCCTGTTGGGAGAGGAAACCATCCACTGTTTTTCGCTGAAGGGTTGTGACGGAGACTATACGATCAGACAGATGGAATTCATGAAGATACTATAATAAGGGAGGGAAAATGTATTATGTAATTCAGATTTGTGATGTTTCACAAGATACTGAGCGCAGCGATGTCTCTGTTTTGTTCTCACTGTAGTACAAGGCAAACATGCACTTTCACAAGTTGTTCCTCGATGTCCCAACCGAAGAACCACTGAGGCAAAGTAAGTTCTGACCTGTTTGACTTTTCAAGCTACATATTTGAAAAGAGGCTCATTGGTTTGGGGGGTGGAGGAAGCGGGCTGGGGACTCAGTCACAAGGGGGGATTGGTTTCTGAAAGTCACGATGCAGCAGCAATGCTGGCTTCATTCGGCCCTCACTGGGTGGGAAGTAGGATGGGAAGGTGAATCTCTCCACACGATGTGGAATCGATGCAAGATGATGCCAGAATGATGTCCTCGCCTTCCGTATTTACAGCAGGAAGGCATTGTGTTTGGGTTGTCCTGAGATATAGGATAACAAGACTGGAGCGAGGGAGGCCACGATAAGAAGGTTAAAAAGCAGCACAGGTCTGGGTGGGCAGACGTGCGTCGATACCTGCGCTGTGCAGGGCGCAGTGATCACATCTGAACACCTTGCCCACAGGCGAGCTAAGCACCCGCTCTCCGCTGTGGTTCACCGGGGCCCAGGGGTCCCTTCCAGCCTCTCTCGGGCCAGTGTTAAGGCAAGATGCTGGATTCCAGCAGTGATCTCCAAGCAGGAAGGCGTGGGGCACGCGCTCTTCCCCAAGTTGGACCGTCTGTTTCTAGAGCATTCGTTAGTGACAGTCGCAGGGAAGGCGGGGCAGGAGTGCTAACATAAGCACAGAGGTGACACACCTTCCTCCCTGGAGGTTTTTGAAACACCATTCTTGAACCTCATTTGTAGCGATAGACTTGCCCTTCCTTTTTGATTTTCATACTAAAATTTGTAAGACTTTGAATGAAAAAACAAACTCTAATCTCCACTAAAGGTGATTGAAAAAGGGGGTGATAGATCTTTGGAGTTTGTGAGTGAATTGTCTGTGGCCCTCCCTGAGTCACCAGCATATACACGGAATTCTCATTCTGAATGTAAATTCTAACTGATGTAACACCTGTATGTATTTTCTCAGGTTTTACCTGTGCTCTACAGAAAGAACTGTTATACCAAGGGAAGCTCTTCGTATCAGAAAACTGGATTTGTTTTCATTCCAAGGTCTTTGGAAAAGACACTAAGGTTTGTATATATTTTTTTAAGAAAGCCAGCTAGCCCTATACTTTACTGTATGTGTGAATATGAACTGTTTTAAGTGTAGCAATATTTGTAAATATTTGTGTCATTATGGTGCCACTATACAAAGCTTCCTTTGTGGTGGTTCCAAACGTTACAGGTTCTCAGTGCCTCTGGATGTCACCTCCCTGCCTCCCACAATCCTGCCCTCAATCCTTATGCAGGTGCCACCTGAGAACACAACGTTGTTCATATGAAAAATGCTTCACAATCAGTTTCAAAAATGTACATTTAACCTAAAACAATTTTTTTAAAGAAATACTGATTTTTGTTTTGTTCTGTTAACCATCCAAGACTCTAGAAAAACAGGCTTCTAAATAAGCTACTGATTAGAGTTCACTTTGGACCGTTGCCAGCACAGAAGGAGCAGGAATCGCAGCATTTACGACTGAGTTTGAGAGAGTCGTATGCCCACAGTCCCCAGTGGATGCTGATCGATAGCTTTGCATTCCCATTAAGTACAGAGCTGGGGGAGCAGAGGCCCGTGACACACTGAGCCACTAAGGAGAATTGCCTGAAGCAATTGGCAGTTTTCCAAGGCACTGCCTTCTAAAGCAGGGACCTTGGGACTGTGGCCTAAGAGGAGAAAGATAATTCCATTCCACTGACATTCCTTCCCTCTGAGCTGTGCTGCGATGTTCAGGCCACCAGAAGAAGGAAGGAGTCAGAGAAACACCATCCTGGGTGTGCATGACCTCATCGCGTTTCCAGTATTCTGATTTGCGATTATGAGTAGGCAGCTTTTATGGTCGTGAAGTAGCTGACTGAGAATTTTTTTTAAGTGGTAGATATGTTTTAAGTGTTCTCCCTGAAGCCACTGGCAATCTTATGAAGACAGCTTAACAAATAAAATGGAAATTCTTTATTTTGCTGGTGTTGAGTCAGCAGCCTAGCATGCTATTTTTAGGTCAAACATGTTATTTTTTTATATTCTTCCTTTACTAGATAAAGTTATGTTTAGATAAACATTCTGAGGCACAGTATTATCTGAATCAGTATAATGCAAAGTAATATTAAGCAGTATTCCACCCTATTCCTAGATTTCTGGATTCTGAGAACTTGATCATGGAGTGGGGAAGGGGGTTGGGAAGTACTGAGCTTCAGTTCAAGGTGGTAAAGATAATTTTCAGGGACTCAGAGAAAGCCAGAACCTCTGCCTGAAGCAGCAGGGCTTGAAGATACTAGTGAGCAAAGTTGTAATCCTTGTTAAGAATAGGGGAATTTGCAACGCCAATATGTGAGTTTCAAGCTAATATGGTTCTGCCAGTGGCTTCACAATCCTACTTCTACTTAAGAGAGAACTGATCAAAAAAAATAAAATAAATTTAAAAAGAGGAGCAACCCTGGTTTTTTAAAGACTTACCACACGGATTGCTTTTGCATGTGCTAAATCTAAGAGACAAGAGATTGAAAATTAGCAGGGTGGGGGCATAGAACCATGACAGTGACTTGTACATTGCTTCCCCTGGAAGGATCACATTGGGGAGATGGGGGCCTCGGCTCTGTGGCAGGATTTCCTCCCTGCCAACAGATCTTGGTCCAACATGGTCCAGTGTGAACTAGAGGCAGCCAAACAGTTTGCTCTAGGAAAGGGAATTTTCTAAGCACCCTACCCTGGAAAAAAAATACTAATTAAGTGTAGTTTTAATTTTATTAGGACCTTTTAGCCCATTGGTATTTTCAGAGGCTAATAAAATTAAATGCATGTATCACATTTCATTGAGGCTCAGACTGAAAGGTTATTTCTCCTTTATTTCTCAATTGTTATGTAGTTGTCATTTTACACTCGTGAAGCAGTTGATTAAAAACGTCTCCTGAAGGATGTTCCATGCCTTAGTTTATGAAAAGAAATCCAGGTGTATAGCCCCTCGACACTGTGTGTGCATGGTGTTGCTCAGAAACAAAATTAGACTCATTTTTATATCACCATTTATCTGAGTAGATCAAGGGATGTAACATAAAAGTATCAGGAACATCAACTATTCTTTGTGACATCTGATACATTCTTGTAGTACATTGTATGAAAAAAAAAAACTACGCTTAGGATAAGATTTGCTCTATTTCACCGGTTCTGTTTACATGAGGCAAATGAGAAAATGAAGGACGCTTTCATTTAGTGCTAGGCATTTCCCACATATTATCTCATTTAATCCACAGAAAGTCCTGGGAAGTAGATAAAACTGTCGCCATTTTACAGATCAGGAAACTGAGGCCTAGAAAGGATAACTCATAAGGTAGAGGGGGTCATATAGGTAGTAACAGAACCGAGCTGAGAATTCGAGTCCCAGACTTTCTGTCCAATAATGGTTCTGTTACACCAGTGCTTTTCAAGCCTAAGGGCACAGGAGATGGGGGTGTGAGAAATTAGCCCGAAGTAGATGGCCACCAGCAGCAAGTGACACCTTGAGAGCCTTGGACTTATCTTTAACATGAGTGTAAATTTTGCTTTCTAGTCCCCGGCTAAAGATAGCGGTTTCCCATGAAGCCCTTCAGCAGGACTGAGGATCCAGATTTATGTGGCTTTGTATTCACACCAGCCTAAGGAGCTCAGGGACCCTCCCGTGCCACTGTTTAAGATGGACTTTTCCTCATGGATGCTGGAGAGCCTGCTGCTGCTTTTTATTTCTTTGTTATCAGTCTGTTTGCTTTTTCCTTTAACATGAAGATTGGAAGCGTTGTTCTGTGACATCTTAACCAGTGTGTTAACTCGGTGATTCTGTTTCAGATCTCTATTCCGGCCTTCTCCGTAACCCTAATAAAGAAAACCAAAACTGCCCTTCTGGTGCCAAATGCCCTGATTATAGCAACGGTCACAGACAGGGTGAGTACGCAGCAGAGCAAGGGCTCCTGCTCTGCCCTCCAATGCGCTGGGGCCTCCTGCCAGGGCCAGGACCCTGGACCGTAAATATCATTATGCCCCACAGGGAATCAGGAAATACGTGTAAGACTAATTTGTAAAATCCTAGCCTTTAGACATTCCTGTAGTGTTGTTTCCCCTCACAAGACGATATCTTCTAATTGTTGCCATTATTTAATTTCCTGCTGACTTAATTATATTTGCTCGACCAAAGTAAAAAAAATAAAATTCTTTCCCAACTTCCCTTTCCCTAATATCTTGTAGGTCAGGTTAAACTGCTGTTCAGTTTCCTTAATAGTATTTAAAACAACCACCATCACCACTTTGTTGACAGGGTAAGGCAGGGTGACACTGGGGAGTCCCTGGGGTGGGGGTGGCCAGCTGCCCCATAACCTCAGTTGGGACCTCTCCAAAAGCATCCCAAACACATAAAACTTGTGCTTGCTATGCACGTGCAGCTTCGGACCAGCTCCTAGCCCCTCTTGGCTTCCAGGTTTCCTCCCCTATCCCACTTCTATGCAGGGATTCTCAGGCTGTTGTTGACTGTTGGGATAACACAGACACATGCAACCAGAAATCTCTGCACTGAGAGGTGTTTGCTTCTGCTTGGGAAGAGAGAGGGAGTCGAGTATTTTGGTTACCCATATTTCACTTGAAATTATCTTTTAATATTTTACGTATTATTTCTATGAAAGCATAGAAGCCACATTCCATTCCTAACCATATTGGATAGTGGAAGGAAGGAAGGAAGGAGGCAGAAAGAAAGAGAAATCAGGCTATTCTGATGAGCTAGGAAATATATTAGTATCTGTCTACTTTTGAAGAATTTTTTTAGACATACTAACGGCTAACAAGAATCAAGTACTTTTGCCCGGCATGTGCTAAATACTTCGCTTATGTTTTCACATTTATTACATACTACCACCCTCTAAGGGGTAGGTATTGTTAAAAGAACTGAAGCTCAGAGGGCGTAAGCAGGCACTTTGCCCAATGCTGCCTGCTTAGCATCAGAGCCAGAATCTGCAGCTGGGTCTGTCTCCTGCCAGGACCCATAATGCTAACCACTTTGGGATCCAATACTGTGTATTGTATTGTATTGTATTGTAAATTGTATCAGATCCTTTCCTGGGTGAATGAGAGGGGTAATCACAAACTTTGGGAAGTGAGTCTGGAAAGATTCCGTGGCTCAAACAGTAGTAGACAGATTTAGTTTTACTACTTTCTCAACCTCCTGTTTCGGGTAAAAGCATTTTTCCTTATGTCATTCGTCTCCAAATTACTTGTCTAGCTCTGGTTTTACTTCTTTCCCATAACTCACTTATAAGCATCCACTACAGAAATCTCTATATTTGTACAAGGCAGGCTCTGGAAGTGGCCTGAAAAAGAACGGGCCTATTAGGGCCCCTGGGAAATTTTCAGTGGAAAGCTAGGTCAGAGCAGAGAAAGCAGATCCTCAGGAATTGATAAATACCTTAAAAAAAAAAGCAGAGGTGAGGGAGAGATAGAGAAACTTAAAAAGGGGTCTAGAAAATATCACTGGCATTTTTTTTAGTGTTCAGGTCTTTTCCTACTTGTGCTTCTTTGGGCACCTTCATCAGGGTATTGGAGCCTTTGTTTTTCTCTGCGTTAATGAGTTAAACTGGGTTTGGGGGTTTTGTTGCTGTCGTTGGGGAGTATATTTCCTTTAGTGTGGGAATGGAAATGAAAACTCAAAGGTGTGGGTGAGCAGAATCAGCATATAGACCAGAGCATATCGGCCTATATCATTTTAAATGAAAAAGTATATACAAGTAAGTTTTTGAACTCTGAATATTCACTTCTCGTCAGACAGTATCTGTTACTAATTACTGTGTTTTGTTTTTCAGTACATATTTGTCTCCCTGCTCTCCAGAGATTCAACTTACAAACTACTAAAATCTGTGTGTGGACACTTAGACGTGAGTACGACATTGCTGAGCCTCAGTTGCTGTCTGTCTGCTGTGTTTCTTACAGTTCCATAGTTAATCTGCTGTTTCATTTTATCTCGATCATTCCAGAATACAAGCGTTGGTAACAGTCCTAATCCGTCTTCTCTTGAAAACAGTTTCCGGGCTGACCGCCCTTCGTCTCTGCCTCTGGTGAGTTGCCTACACAGTACCTAAACGCAAAGGAAAGGGAGTATGTCCAGCAATTACACCACAACCAGGGTGCAAGAGGAACTTAGGACAGTAATATTTGAGGCGAGCTGAAGAAACAGGGCATCTCTGTCCTGAAGAAAAGGAGGACCCTAGGAGGTCATAAACTTTGTTCATGTAACTGAAGGGTTGTCCTGCAGAGAAAACGAAACACAATAGGCTGCCTTGGGGATTACTGGTCACTGGAGGCATTCATGAAGTCTTGCTGTGTTTGCTTGTCAGTGTTGGTTTAGAGGGATTCACCAGTCTATTTGGGGTGGGGTGTGATTCATCCCACAAATGGTTGAATGTCTTCTGTGTTCAAGGCTCCGTGCTAGCGTTTGCTGTAAGGACACCAGGAAAAATCTAGACTAGTTGTTGCCTTTGGAGACTTGACAGCTTAGTGGGGAAGAAATAACTAAGAAAAGAAAGCTCTAATGCCCAAGTGAAAGGTAGAGATTCTTTGATTCCTTTAGACTTCATTGTCTGTAGAGTAAATCTCCAGTGGGGAGTCCTAGCCATATGATTCAAGTAATTATTCCCAAGTTGACTATTGTCAAATGTTGAAATAACTTTGGTGAAGTGGTAGAGCCCATGGTTTCAACATCTACACATCTCTTTATGAGAACTGTTAAAAAAAATAGTGGGATTGAAAATATATTCACACAAAAATTTGAACATGAATGATCATAGCTGTTATTTATAATAGCCAAAAAGTAGAAACAACCCTCATGGTCATCAGTTCATGAGTGGGTAAATAAATTGCAACCTCTCCACACAATGGAATATTATTTTCCTAAAAAGGAACGAAGCATTACTGTTACACACTACAACGCAGATGAACCTTGAAAACATGCCGAGTGAAAAAAGCCAGACACAAAAGGCCACTATGTTGTACGATTCCATTTGTACAAAATGTTCTGAATAGGCAAAGACTGCAAGTAGATTAGTGGTTGCCAAGGGATGTGGGAGAGGGGAAAATTGGGAGTGACTGCTAATGAGTAAAGGTTTCTTTTTGGGAGGGTGATGGAAATGTTCTGAAATAAGATAGCGGTGATGTTGCACGACACTGTGAATACTGTACTCTAAAAATGACCGAATTGTAACTTAAAATGGTGAATTTTATCTCAATTTTTAAACAAAAATTTTTAAGAACCTTTTGTAAAACCTTTAAAAAATAGTGGGAAGAAGTAAAAAAACAGAATTAAACACAGACACCTTGGAATCTGACAAGCCTGGTTTCGAATCTGGGTTCCGCCCCGCTGAGCTATGCCATCGGGCAGGCTCGCTCGCTGCTCTCACTCGGGCTCCTCACCCAGGAAAATGCCAGCCTCACGATGTGGCCGGGAAGGTCACGTGCAGTCGTGTGTGTAAGGAGCTCTGCATACTGCCTCATACATGACAGGCATTCAATAAATAATCATTAAATTGAAGAGACTTGAAATTTTTCCATTTTCTTTCCGTGTAAAAATCTTGCATGAAATTGAAATGAATGTTGAAATGACCAAAGAACAGCTGGTTGAAGGTGGAAGGCTGGGTCTCTCCATTCGACAGCTAAGTAAACTGTGGAGCTCTCCGCCTAACTGCGCCTTCCCCAGGCTGTTTTCTCAAGGACAGGTCTGGTCTTTAGTTCTGAATGAGTGGGATACAAAGGAAAACATTCCTGCTGTCTCCCCTGCTCCTCATTCCTCTCTCATCCTTCTGTCATTTAAATGTAATGTCACTGAACCTGTTTTGATTTGGTGACAGGAAGAAAAAAGGTGAAGTTTTCCTTTCAGGGTCAATTTGTTAAAGCCATTTGCCCTTGTCTGTTTCTAATACCTCTTTTAAAACTATAATCGAAGAATAGCTTTCTCTGTGTCTGCATATTCAAACACGCATTTCGAGCTTTCTGTCCCCTTTTTTCTTTTACATATGTCTATTTCAGTCACTTTGCTCATTACAGAGTGCTCACTGCGGCTTCTGCAGCTTTACCCTAGAAGCTTTTCAGTCATCAGCATTCCAGTGTTTTCTTCTAGACATTTGTTGGTTCAAAAAGTTGACCACTCCTTGTTGATAGAATTCTAACTGCCCGGAAGAATCTCAGTTTCAGTAACCAGATACTTAGCAATCTATTGGGAAAATCCCAGTGGTATGGGGTAATCCTTCCTTCTTTCCCATGTTTTATAGGTCAGTCCTAAGTAAAAAGGCCAGGGGTTACAAAGGTCTGCCTTTTTAATAAGGGGAAGTTGGCCTCTCTTCATTTCATTATTTCCCTTCAGGATTTCAATGATGAATTCTCAGATCTGGATGGAGTGGTTCAACAAAGAAGGCAAGACATGGAAGGATACAGCAGTTCTGGCTCTCAGACTCCCGAATCCGAGAACTCGAGAGGTCTGGGAAATTTTTGTATCTTGACTAAAATCTAATTCTCCACAAAACATCTTCATCCCACCCCTTACAAACAAAAACAAAACCAACCACACACATACACACGCACACAAAACTGTTGTCTTCCAAGTTAACAATTGGAAAGGGAATCTGGGGAAAGGGTAGTTTGCAAGTTCCAGAAATCGGAATTGCCTAATGTGGTAAAATTCCAATCCATTTATACATATTTAATAAATGTCTCATAAATCTACATATTAGGTTGATTAAAAAAGAGAAACATATAATGTTTCTTTCCCTCTGTTAATAATATTATTGTTATACCTGCATCAGCTCTGTGAGTCAATGGAGTAAAGTCAAACTGCCCTCATTTTATTACTTATTTGCGCGATCATTGGATTTCAATCCCCAGCCACTCAACCAACTTCTGAGAAGACCCATTTATGTACGTGGCCATTATGTATGTTGAGAGCTTGGTTTGCTTTGGTGGTTGATACTACATTTTAAATGTTTTGAGGAGAGAGCTCACCCAGCCCCATTTTGACCTGATAGATTTCCACGTGACAGAGTCCCAGACAGTTCTCAATGCCTCCAAAGGAGAAGCAAAGCCAGCCAGGGCAGATGCCCACGGGAACAGAGTACCCGAAGGAAAAGCCAAGAGTCTCCCTGCACACGGTAAGGAACAGATTCTGGGGGAGTGTGCGTGGGGGGAAGGTCTGCTTGTACCTTTTAAAGGGCCCACATACTTCATTTTATGACTGCCTTTCACATCCCCGCCCCTTCTTTCCTGTTGTAGGTCTTTGCGTATTAATTCATTTATTCAGTTTAACAAACTTTATTCACTCCTCTGCTTACTGTGGGGGGTACAGAGGTGACTAGCCTTCGTGGAGGCCCCTCCGTTATTCTGAACACTTTGAGATTGTGATTCAAAAAATGCTGTTCACACTCAGCATTGCTGGACGGAGGAGTCACTTTTCACTTTCCACCCAACAGGTCAATCAGAATCCATTGGGATCTTACACAAAGTCAAGTCTCAGAAATATCCGACTCTCAGCCAAATTCTTATATTCTACGCAATTGTGTAAGTAAATGAATTTACTAAACATGACTTAAGAAAACGGTTCAGTTCTTTAACAAAATAATCTTTTTGTGTTGCTAAGAGCCATTATAAGTGCCAGGGGTGGCTAATGTGACCCAGATCTTTTTTTCTACAATGTTTGTCTCCTGCCTCAACATGTCTTCCCCTTGGGCTTCAGTCACATTGTCATGTTCATCTCCTTCTCAGTTAAATAGTGAGAAGGGCGGAAGGAAAAGTGAAATGATTGCCAGGTCCAGCAGAGGGACTAAGTCCTGAGCGGACAGTGTTAGTGGGGAATTATAAGGAAGCATCGTTGTCCATATCGTTCATGTTCCATCCAACCCGTGTTCTCTGGACTGAGGCCAAAACAAATATAAAATGTCATCCGCTTTCTTAAAAACCAAGGCATTGACTTTTTTAACTTCCCCCCTCACTTCCAGTCTGTAATCAGTTGTTCTTCTGAAAATAGCTTGACCCAGTTCTAGGCTATTCCTCGCCACCAAGGAGGACCTGCCCAGTTTGGTTTCCAGATAAAGCAGGGAATTTGTGAGTCACCAGAGAACAAGACGGGGCACTCACTGGCCAGGGAGACAGCCCCTGTGGAAGGAAGGGCCCTTGGGTGTGGCCCCAGGAAAGCCTATTAGAATTTCTTATAAATCAAAGAACTTGAGCTAAAGGATTTTACATCCCCCAAGAGCTTTAAAGTTTTGTGACAAGCATCAGCCTGTTGAATAAAGATGTTTTCTAAAATCTCTTTGGCCAAGTTGTTTTAGAAAATAGCTTTCCTTGAATGTACATTGGCTATGAGGGGTTTTTTTGGTTTTGATTTTGGTTTTGGTGGCTTTTTGTGTGTAATCCTCACCTGAGGATATTTTTTCCATTGCTTTTTAGAGAGAGAGAGTGGATGGGATGGGGGGCAACAGGAGAGAGAGAGAAACATCGATGTGAGAGAGACATGTTGATTGGTTACCTCCCGCATGTGCCCTGACCATGGTCGGGGATCGAACCTGCAACCCAGGTACGTGTCCTTGACTGGGGATCGAATTCTCCACCCTTCAGTGGGTGGGCTGACGCTCTAACCACTGAGTAACTGGGTTTATTATTTTATGACTGTCAAGGCCTGGCCATTGACCACTGAGATTTGTCTGTTATCCCTTTCCAGGGTCTGTGCACTGATCGTCTCGACCTTCTACATGAGATACAGAATCAATACTCTGGAGGAGCAGCTGGGGTCACTGACCTCCATTATGGACACCCATCACACTGAGTAAGGCTTCCCTCCTGTGCTGTCATCTGCTTGCTATTCAGATTAGTATAATGTTTGACTTGAGCTTAGCAACCCTCTTGGCAAATATTAATTAAGGATACATTTTGTATGAGACATTTTAAGTGTATATTTGGGGAGTAAAGAGGTGGGAAGCTCCCAGAAATGAGTGACCTGATTGTGCATGTTCTTGAGTTGCTATAGTGTTGCCAGTGATGAGGCAAGAAACAAGCCTAATTTTACATTATCTAGTTCTGTCATCCTCAGACTCAGTTGTGACCTTGGCCCATTTATTACAATATAAAAGTTTATCTTCATAAAATGGCAAGGAGTCAAGACCTTCATAGGAGAGAAGCAATTCAAGTAACTCAGCACATTTCATCACTGGTAGCTCTCTGTTGGCCCATTTATTTACAAAACTGTTGATCGCTGTCAGGATTCATGTAACCAAGCAATTGGTTGGTTGTGCCTGTGAAATTTTTCCATCACAGGCATTTTTACATGCCTAACCTAATTAAGCCTATTCAGACATAGAGCATTTTCCTCCCAACCCATTTCCATGAGGATTTTTACATACTGCCTAAAAAGTAAAATAAGTTATTCCATATCTTAAAAAAACACATACTTTTAGCACACTTTTAAAAGCAGGGATACTCCTTTACAGAGTACACACCGTGTGCTGTTGACTCTATTAGAATGGATACATACACACACAGTTTTCTCTCACTATACCTTATAACTATTATTCCCATTTTATAGACAAGTAACTGAGACTCAGAGAAATAATTAGCTTAATGTCTTACAGTTTGAAATAGAATTAGGATTCAAATGCAGATTTGTGCGAGTACAAAGACCGTAGCCTGCCCAGACTACCAGTGGCTACTTGGTTATGAGAAATGGCCTAGAACTGGGTCAGGTTATTTTCATTGTGCTTCAGAATCTTCTAGAGGGCTTGCTAAAACAAATTACAGGGCCCATCCCCAAAGTTTCTGATGCAGTGGATCTGAGATTGGGCCTGAGAATTTGCATTTCTATCCAGTTCTCAAGTAATGTTGATGGTACCAGCCTGAGGCCTCCACTTTGAGAACAATTATGCTGTATCATTCTAGGGCCTTTCTTTTTTAAAAAATATAGTTTTATTGATTTTAGAAAGAGAGTAAGAGAAAGGGAGGAAGAGAGAGAGAAAGACAGAGAAACATCTATCAGCTGCCTCCTGCATCCCCCCTACTGGGGATTGAGTCCACAACTCGGGCATGTGTCCTGACCCGGGAATCGAACTGGTGACCTTCTGGTGCATGGGACGATGCTCAGCCAACTGAGCCACCTCAGCCAGGGCTCTAGGGCCTTTCTTTATGCTCTAACAACTGCTTAAAAGTCTTATTCTGTGGCTTAATAGTATGCTGGCATACAGGTTCTTTTTGAGTCATAAATATACATTTGAACCACTAATACAGAAGCCTAAAGAATGGTTTGGAATAGATTCATACCCACCCATACTCTCTTCCGTCTTGTTCAGAATGTTAATACACTTAGAACTAGGAGGTGCCTCTAGATTATAGCAGACTGTTCTGTTCACTACCATATAGGGGCTTGATGATTCTAGGAAAATGTACACCTGTTTTCATGCAGTTAACTTGGTGATGATGAGAGGGCAATTCCACTATCAAAGGCAAATTAAGCATTTATTATACTATTTAAATAATCCACTCAGGAAGAGGTACAATCTGAAAAATAACCATTTAAAGGAAAAATCACATAGATCATATATGACATGAGATCAGGGAACACCCATGATGGAAAGGTCTGTTAATAAAGTACTTTGACAGCACCTGACCTTCCCCAGTATCTTATTTTGTCCAGGATGATAAATCCAGCCATGCTGTCCTGGTCACTAAATCCACACACCTCACCTGATTGTTTAGTTGCTACAGAGCCATCCTTTTGAACCCACACGTTGTACCAGCTTTGTTACTACAAGGATAGCCTAGATATTGTCAGAATTTCATGTTGATGAATCAGTACTCAGATCCCTCACCTAGAAACTGAAAGATTTAGATTCAGTTTCCTTTTTAGGATCTAAGATTTTGATAGTATGGGTCAATGATAAAAAACTGTTTTAGTACTAGTGAATGAAAAACATCTGATTGCCTTCTTAATATTCAGATAATCATCAATAAGTTGCCAGCACCTATATTTCAAAAATGGATCACACGTGAAAGAAATTAGACCAGTCATTAACCACTAAAAACGTAATGGCTACAAATAAATTTCAACCAAGAAATACAGAGATGATACAGACCGTGGTTCTTAATATTAACATAAAAATCTGATAAAGAGCTTTTAGACCATCTCTCCGGGAGCAGTGTACATACATCTCTACATTTCCTACAGTTTTAGCTGGTATCGGACCCCGGGAGGCCCCAGAGTTAGATCGAACGAGCCCATGCCATAAATAGTCTAATGGTAAACAGTGAATACATCTGCGAGATTGTAAGACAAAGACAAATTACATTTGTATGGTGAGTCTCAAAGAACGACAGAAGTCTCACACTTCAACCAAAACTTTAGGAAACACATTCCTTACGGTTCTGAAAATTCCTGTGTAAAGGGTTCCTGCTGCCACAAAAAATAAACCCATGGCTGAGAAGAGCCACAGTTCTTGCAAATGTGTGCTGCATTGCGATAGAGAGGATAGTGGGGGCTATTAAAAGGGGTGAGAATAACTGTCTGATTTTTGTTCGGAAGCCAAGGCACAACACACCCACTTAAACAAAAATAGCCTAAGGGATTTCCAGCTGAGCCATTAAGAATCTGTCCCCAACCTTCTAGCCTTGAGCCGTGGATTACCTTGGGGGCCTTTCTGAGGTTAACAAGTGAAATGCTCCCTCTTTTCTATTACAACCCAGTTTTCTGTTCAAAGACACTTCAAATGTGTTTATTCCACTTCTTTCTTTGCTATTCCTGGCCAAAATAATTTTTCTCTTTGTTCTTACAGACAGGCAGCCCCACCCGGCCTGGGGTCACAAGTACAATTAAATGTGGAGGTCCTCTGCCGAGAGCTTACAGCTAACATAATGAAATTAGAAAAGGTGACTGATTTCTTTCCTGTGTTGGGGGTGGTTGTGGTCATGCCTGTCGCTTGCACTTGTGGTAGGTCAGTGGTTACACATTAAAACACTCCTGGAGTGCAGCGGGCAGCCTGAATGACCAGACCCAGCCAGGGGTCAATGAGAAAGACTATTTTTCACTTTCACAAAGAAATGGGTGTCAGTCTCACTTTCCTTGTTGGTCTCTCTCTGGTTTTCCTCCTTGGTTAGAAATATTTCTTTGTGCCATAGAGCCCAGTGGCAAGTGACCCCTGACACAGGACTCAGGAGAGGGACACAGTAGGGAGTGTCCCAATCAGAGAGTGCAGCCCCACCTCCACCCAAGCTGATGGTTTCCATACATAAAATATTGCATTCATTCCCTTTTGTAACCCTGGGAGGTGGATGGCACTAATCCTGTCTGGCCGGGGAAAAGTCCAAGTTTCTATTAACTTGCCCAAGGAGACACGTCTAGAAAGTCAGCAGACCTGGAATTTGAAGCAAAGTTGTGCTTGGAAACCCCCTGCCTTACTCGTTCTAGAATCCAACCTTAGTCCTTGCTGATAAGGCCACTGATGTACCTGTAGGGCTTCAGGTATCTTCCTACAGAGCAGCTTTAGGACAGACCTGTCCCCATGCTTGTGGCATTCTTAGAACTCAATAGGAGAGTGAACAGGAGAAAAAGGTTAGTCACGCGAGAAATATCCCAAAGTAAAACCTAATTAACATTTCTTACTGCTTTCAACGTGTTTATCTCTTCCCATCTAAAACGTTGTTTTTACCCTAATCCTTAAGGGAAGTGTTAGAGTTACATGTTCAGTTCGAACCCACAAACACCCAGTAGCTTTCCATAGGAGTGCAGTTACGCTTTGTTGAGGAGGGACATGAAATACAAATGAGTCAAGTGTTTGTTTTGCTTTACTAAATGTTATCTAACATTTAACCACTGAAGTATTGAGAGTAAAGGTGTTTCCAAACTTCTGTCCTTAAACCAAGGCACGCCAGATAATTCCTATGGAATCACTGTATCTGTGGGCTGACTCGAAAACTTTTCCTCAGTCAAAATCAACCTAGAGGAGGGATTGGGGTAGCAACCAGAACTGTTTTCTAAAGTGTTAGTTGCTGAGAATTAAAGATAATTTTTGTTTTGGTAATGAAATGTTTACCAATGTTTGGCTTCCATGCTGACCAAGTGAATGAGCCGGTTTTAATTTTCTGTTTTGCTCACTCTAGCATATTCTTTGGACTGAAGCATACAGGATCCTGCTGCCCTCTCCTGTCTTCCTTCCCCTTCTCCTGCTGGGCCTGGCTGGGACACCACATTCTCTAATGAGGGACAGAAAAACAACTCAGATAGAGTCCAGCCACTCAGCTGAGAGGCCAATAGAAACCTTTGTCCTGAAGCAGAAGCAGTCAGAAGTGGATTTAGGGTCAAAATACATATGTTGATGTTCTAAAAAGTTATAAATTGCACACATGGCTCAAAGGAAAGGAAGCAGAAGTTACCAGGCCACACCCGTGTTCTTTTTGATGGGTCTGCCGGAGGCAGTCTGGCTATAGCGCAGCACAGCCTGGTGCTGAAACTGCAGCTACGGGTGGTGGGACCGGGGGAGCCATGTCTCGGCTCATTTCACTGGGTGCCACCAATTCCTTTCTGCTCGCCTTCAGGGACTGCTCCTGTCCGAGCCTCCTGACCTGCCCTGCTTGTAACTTCCCGATTTCTCTTCCTGGCATCACGTTCCTTGTTGGAAATCTATGAATACCTTTTAGCTCCCTCCTCTTTTTCATTTGCACTGATTGGCTAATTAGTTGAGAAGTCCTATGCAGCCTATCTTCAGATGTCTCCTCCGATTCTCTTCCCGGGGGCACCACCTTTGTCCATTCTGACCCCCTACTACCAGTCTAACAGTGGGAATTCAGATCTCATTGTGACTTTTATTTGCATTTTCCTGATTACTGCTGCAGGTGAACATCTTTTTATATATTTATTGGCCATTTGGATTTTGTTCTGTAAATTGCCCATTTATCTCCTTTGTTTTGCTTTTGGGTTTTTTGACATCGTAGGTATGTTTTATATAATTTGGACATCGGTCTTTGGTTTCATTTCTTTTCCATCTTCCCACTCCTGCTTTTATCTTTGGTCCTGTGGGAGAGGTAGGGAAGACATGAGGTAGGAATGTGGAGGTTGAAGGCAATGCTTTTACGGGTGAAGAAGTAAATACTTATTTTCTTAGTACTGGAAATGGCATTTATGGTGGAGCAGTACAGAAGAGCGGGCATAAATTTGGAGTCACACCTCTGTTCTGATCTGTACTCTGCCATTTACTGTCTGTGTAACTGGTCTTGTTGCAGAGCCTCTCTGGCCCTCGGTCTCATGTGTGAGACCTGCACCTGTGTGGTAGTGATGTGTGGCTAAGGGGAGCACGTGGGGAGTTCCTGGCACAGACGTGATAGATCCCGTCCTCTTCACGCACACTGCATGTGCCTGCAGGACATCCAAAACAAGACATTCTCTTCTTCCAAAACAGGACGTTCNGTGCCTGCAGGACATCCAAAACAAGACATTCTCTTCTTCCAAAACAGGACGTATTCTTTCTTCTGTCCCTCGGGCTTCCTCACTCCTGTCACAGACCTGGTTGTTGAGAATTCCTTGCTCTGAATTCCTTCAAGTTCATTTACTCAACAAACATTTACTAAGCACATTTTTAACGCCCAACGCTGCACTGTAGTCTTGAGATCCAGTGATATGGCATGGTCCCTCCCCCTGTGAAACTCGGTCTCCTGGGAAATGTTGTATGATTTCCAATAGGAGTGTTAAACATTGTTGTGTGGTGTTTGTCTGATCCGAACTATCGGACGGGCTCTGTAAAGACCAGCTCCCCATCATGTCCGGATGCTTTGGGGTCACACCTGTGCTGCTGTTCTTTTTCTTTCATCTGATTTCTCTCGGTCTCTGCTGACATTTTCATCTTTGGGCACTTTCTTTTCCAGCCCTCCCTTTTCTGATTTTCAAGTGGATTGTCAAACTGAGTTCTGTTCCATTAAAAAGCATTTGTTTGCCTGATCCACATTCAACCCACGTGTAGCTCTTTTGAATAATCTCAAGCATTACATAGGCCATAGCAAATATGCCCTTAATATACTCCATTTTATTTAATAACAGGAGCTTCTCTGTTATTATTTCAAGATACAGAACAACTTGCAAAAGTTGCTTGAGAATGGTGACTGACCCACCAGATTGCTTGGGCCAACGTGATACCTCGTGCTTCCCTTTGAAGAAGGTGCTCGCGGAGGCGTCCCGGTGGAGTGCTCCCTGCTGGCCAGAGAGGCACCCCAGCCACGTTTGCACTTGGAGGTCTCCAGCTCAGGAAAGGGGGAGGGGGAATAATTCTGGTTCCTGTGAAATAAAAGTTGACCTTGACTCTCTGAGGAAGTTCTCAGTGCTGCTGCCTGAAGGAAACTGACCCATCTCAGAGGTCTCAGGAAGGACCTGGTGGACACGCTCTTGGATGACTGTGGTTCAGTGGCCATCGTGACTGTGTCAGCAAACACACTCCACAACGCGCCTTTCAGTCCTTCCCACCCTCCTACACCCCAGCCTTCCAACTAAGGGTATATCATGTGCCAACAAACCTGATGTGGTCCTTTAAAGAATTAGCCATAATTCTCCGAGAGGCAATAAAGAGCTCTAATGGACAGGCTTGCTTCAAAGAAATAACACCAGCATTTTGTCTTTTTTTCCTCCGTCTACTGTTATGTTCTGGTTTAAATCATCTGTGTATCTTCTCAGTTGAATATTGGCGAGAATATTGGGCAAAGCAGATAAACCATCCCGTTTATGTTTTGTTCCTCTATCTAATGCTTAATTGGACTTATTCTCACCCACCCCAAGTCAAGAATCTGTGCGATGTGGGACTGAAGTACTAAATAAACTTACTCTGAAACCAAAACTAATCTTTAAACCAAAAGGTATAATGTGATTTGATACAGGATGAAAAACACCAAATTTTTAAGATTATAGGTGGACTATGTTACTTTTGAAAAAGGATGTCTGTATTGAATGTTGAAATCCATTTCAGCAGGATGAGAGCATGCTTTTTTTTCTTTTGCTGACAAAAATAAAGAAGAAACTGGTGGTTTGCTAACTTCTACTTACCATAGGGTTGCCTGGTTTTTATTAATAATTATTTAGGTACCATAAGATCCATAATATAAAAGATATTCTGTTTCTGTCTGCAATGCATTTTATAATCATTTCTATGAAATGTATTTTATTTAATCAGATAAGCTAATAAGTGAATTGGTTACATCATTTGTATCTGTTAGCCTACTGGACAAGAATTGTGCCTGGTGCACCCTGGCTTTTAATAAATACCCATTGCTAAAAATACCTTGCTAACATGGTGCTTTGTCAGTTTCTTAATTCTTTTAACTAAGACAATATGCTTTTCAACTGCTTCTTGGACCTTCTCTACTACTTCACCTCACCCGCACTCCTTTTCTCCCAGTATTCACTGCAGAATTCAGAAAGTATTTAAATTCTTGTGTTGCAATAATGAGAGAAAGAAAATGAACTTTGAATTAAAAAAACAGTGCTTGATTCCTGGGTCCATATTTTATGAGTTGTGTGACCTTAAGCAAGATGTTTGGCCATTTCCCCCCATTTTATTGATGAGACTGGAAGGACCAACGAAAAGTGTCGCTGTGAGAAGCAAATGTGATAATGTCTCTAAAGTACATTGCCGTGTCAGGCCAGTAGAAAATACTTTCATAGCAGGTACCATGTCCATTATTTTAAAAAATGTTTCCTGTCTGGCATTCCAGTTTTATAAAAGTTCTACGTCATTGCTTTATGGTCAAACCCGTTAGAGATTCAAAAGTGGGTCAGCCACCTCTCAAGAGAAATTTTACAACTATATGAAGAGCCTTTAAATGGTTCACTTTCCACTGATTTACTAATCTGCTGTCTAGGAATTTATCCTAAAGCAGTAAGCAGAGATCTAATCAAAGATTTATATACAAGAATATTCTTTGAAACTTTATGACAGCAAAACGTTAGAGACACTGAATATTCAAACGGGTGGGGAACGTCCAGCCCTCGGGCCATATAAGACCGGCGAAATCATTTGGTCTGGCCCTGCCAAGGCCTCACCAAAGAGAAGCAGGTCCAGCCATCACATTAGGGATGAGTTAATTAAATGTTTGACCAAATATAGCCGGCTAATTTTTAGGTTGATAATTTTGTATGGCCCTCGAATGACGTTATAAATATCCAAATGGCCCTTGGCAGAAAAAAGATTCCCCACCCCTGCAACAGTTAAATGATGTAGTTATTTAGAAAAGTACTGTCAAAGAATGGCATAGAAAGCAGCATTAAAAGGCACAAAACTAGATGGTTTGAACACAATTGTATAAAGAAACTCCTACATATTTGTGTGTGCACATGCATACGCATACATGGACGCACAGACGTTGACTTCTATTTTCTCTAAATTTTGCACAATGAACAGTTGCTACCTTTTTTTAATCAGCTAAGTTTATTTAAAATATTAAGTGGTCTTCAAGGAATCAGATCCTACAACTGTGTACTCCCCCCCTCCCAACACCTTTGCTTGTTCTGTACCGGGAGCCACTTTTTTAGTGTTTTTTCCAACAATCACTACAGTTGACTCTTCCAAAGAGAAAGAAAGTGCTCCATCATTCCCTGATTTAGTTATTTTATTTATTCGTTTTCCTTTGGGGAATATTGCTGCTTGTCTTTTTTTTTTACTGAATTTATTGGGGTGACATTGGTTAATAAAATTATATAGGTTTCAGGTATACAATTCTACAATACATCATCTGTATATTGTATTGTGTGTTTACTGCTTGTTTTATTTTTAATAACTAGCTCCTAAGTCAAAATCTGGTGCATGTGGCCCCTGCTGGGTGGCTCAGTTGGTTGGAGTGTCATGCCGTACACCAAAAGGTTATGGGTTCAGTTCCTGGTCAGGGCACACAGTGGGTTCCATCCCTGGTCAAGGTGCCTATGGGAGGCAACCAATCAGGTTTTTTTTCTCTCTCTCTCCCCCACCCCCCACCCTGTCCCCTCTCTCTAAAAATCAATAAAAACATATCCTCAGGTGAGAATTAAGAAAAAAAACATGGTGCAAGTAGATTTAAAGGGTGACGCCCAGGACATATGTCTGCATATTAACTACAAAGTAGCATGGAAAGCAAGCATCTGGGATTTTCGGCTCTAACGCCTAGTTACCAAAGTAGGGAATTCTAACAGGAAGGGGTTTCAGATGCCAAGTGGCCAAAAGAATAGCAAATGTTCCCCGTATACCTTGCCCTTTAAAACTTGAGTATTACCTTTATAGAATCAGAAAAGAATAAACCTGAAAAGATTATTGCTTATTACACTATTCCTACGCATTCTGATATTTTAATCTATGATTATATACTATTTTGGTGACTAGAAAATACCAGTCTCTCATAAACAGGAAAAGCGATGATTACTGACTTCTCAAGCTTCGTGAATATTAAAGATGCCTTCCTACCTATTCCCCACAGCACTCCAAGGCGTTTCCCAGGTATGCATTTATGCAATTCTATGAAGCCATCCCAGGCATTTTTTTAAGATGCCTTTTCCTTGCCTTCCACAACTCATTCTAATTCATAAATTCATGGAGTCAGACCAAAAAAATTCCAAATTGTTTATTCCTCAGCCTATGGACAGACATTTTGGGTGTTTCTATTTTTTATTTATGACAAATAAAGCTGCTTTATAAACATTCCTGTACAAACCTCTGTATGGACATACACACTCATTTCTCTTGGGTAAACACTCAGGAGTGGAGTGGCTAGGTCTGTGGAAGGTACGTATATGTTTAACCTGTTATAAAACTGCCAAACTGTTTTTCCAAAATGTGCTATTTAACGTTCCCACCAACAGTGTATGAGCGTGACTGTTCCTCTACATCCTCACCAACACTTGATATGATCAGTCTTTCAAATTTTCAAGGGAGTTTCTTTTTTTAAGCAGCATCTGAGGATATTTTTTCCATTGATTTCTAGAGAGAGTGGAAGGGAGGGAGGAAGAAAGAGAGAAGCATCGATTGCTAGCCTCCCACGCTCACCCATACCAGGGACAGGGAACTTGCAACAGAGAAATGTGCCCTTGAATCAAACCCAAGACCTGTAGGTCCAAGGGTCGATGTTCTGACCACTGAGCCAACCGGCCAGCACTCGAGGGAGTTTCTAATATAGCTGTGTTGTGGTATCTAATTGTAGCTCTAATTTGCATTTCTCTAATGACTATTAATGTTGAACATCTTTTCATGTGCTATGTGAAGAAGATATACAGATGACATGGTGTGTTCCAATCTTTTGCCCATTTTCTATTGGACTGTTTGAGCTTTGGGAATTCATTATATATTCTGGATAAAGATCCTTTATCAGATATGTAATTTATAAACATTTTCTCCCAGTCTGTGGCTGGTCTTTTCATTCTCTTTATGTCTTTCAAAGAGAGGTCCTCTCCTCTCCGGTGCTCTGTTCTACAAACTCCAGCTACCTAGGCTTACTCCCAGCTCCATTTCTGTAGCTCATGTCCGCCTGGGTTCGCCGCCCTGCATCACAGCCTGGAAACTCCAGGCAGTCACGGGCCCCTCTCCATTGTTTCCCTTCTCTCAGGTGTTAACTGTTTTTCATTACCTGCTTTCCAGTGTCTTGAAAAACATTGTTCATATGTTTTGTCTGGATTTTCTAGTTGTTTCAGACATTAAAATAAAAACCAAATGGAGACCAGCCATGAAAATTCCCTGAGCGTCCGGACAAAACCAGTTAAGTCATATAAGAGAAACTTAATTTAGCTCATTTTGCAAGATTAACTTGACCTGGGTCATTTCTTGTTTATGCCTCTGGAAATTATAAGCAAAACCTAAACTGTTTCCCAAGGTTGATACGGGGTAACCACGGACCAATCCTCTATCATTAAAAAGAAAAGTCTAACATTGGAACCAATCACAGTGAAAAGTAAACAGTCACTGCCTTCTCACTCTATAAGCTGCTTTAGAACAATAAACCCCGGAGGCCCAATCCATGTTTGGTTTGAGTGCTCCCAGTTTGGGAACTTTTTGATGTGTGCACAATAAACTTTTACTGATTACTACTTCAGTGATTCACGGGGGTTTTCTTCAGCTATTGCTGAACTTCTGACACACAGGTGAGAAATCAAATCCAGTCCCCGTTAGCCCATCTGGGATGAAAACAGAAATCCCACACCAGAGAAAAACTGACGTCAAGGACCATGAACCAGATCGAAAGAATTGTTACCTTGGTGACAGGAAAGGGAAACACAACACTGAGATAGCTGGAGGTAGCAAACCTAGGTCTGGGGACCATGAGAGAAGTGGCTGAAACTATTAAAGCTTGGAAGCTCAGGAGGGGCTCCAGGGGGCTGAAACAGAGCTGAGGAAGGGGCGCACCAGGCGGGGCTGAGGGCTCAGGGGGAACCATGGGGCCTGTTCTGCAAACGCTCGGCAAGCTGCAAATCGGGTTCAGCTGCTGCCACAGGACGCGACTGCCATTGCCAAGGTGAAGTACGAATAGGTGACACTCACAGGAACAGGACAAATTCAAGGAGCTCTCAGGCAGCAAACAGGAGGGCGCGACCCCTAATTCCCTTCAGGCCTCCCAGGCCCTTGCTGGTGGCCTGCATTAGTAGAATCTGAGAGGGAGGCGCTGGCAAACAAAACCGCGGCTGAAGAACCTCAACATTAGCCCCAGAGCCGTGTCTAGAAGGCAGGGCTCGGCGCCAGGAGGTAGTGGCCAAGCCACCGGCTGCTGCGCGCTCCGCCGGCCCCTCGGCTGCGTGCATCTGAGCCCGCAGACAGGAGACACGTCCGCGTTTCTGTCTCCCCAGACGCAGCCACGCCTCATACAAACGAGGGTGGCCTCGCCCTTACCTGGAAATGACGACTGCAAAGCCCCGACAGCCGCGGCGTCCCTCCCCGTGGACGGCGACCTCTGCGAGCTGGGGGGAGGCCGGGCCTGCACCCACGCGACCTCCCCGCCC